TTTGTTTTCTCAAAAAATAGACTAGAGTTTACACAGCTGTATTTGAAAACATTAGCTCTTACTGAAAAAATATGTGCTCAAGTTTTCTACCCAATTAAGTCAAGTTACTTGGAATTACAGCTATTTGGATTTCGGTTCTAAATACGTGCTTCCAAAAAAGATCTGAGAGAACTCAGCAGGACTTCCTCCTGAGTAAACATACATATTGAGTATAAGGATCAGTCTGTTTCAAAAGAAAGCTCCTATTTTATGTAGAGAGTAATACATTGAAAGATTTGGAAATCAAAAGGGGAGGTGCTCCTTGGTGATAAGCTTATTTTGAAGATGGGGGTTAGCACCATTTATCACTCCTATAAAACTCATAATAAAAGCTGCAATGGTTTAGGAGCCCCACTGGAAAAGAAGTCACAAGCCTCCCTAGAAAGAAAAGCTAACTCGCCTATCCATTGTAAGCACTGGTAAGATATCCACTGCTATTGGCTGCAAATCTGGTGATTTCTGCAGAAGCTCTATGAAGCAAGTAGAGCTGACTCATTTCAAAAGCTGAAGTTTTGTCTGAACACTGCAGCTTATTGTTAAGATAATTATCATGCATTAAAGTCACCCAAATCTTTTGTCAGTTTGGCCCTGCATATCAAAAAAAAAAAATCCCCTTTGGCATTTGCCTTTCTTCCAAAGCAATAAGATAGATATATAAAGATAAAATAGATATATAAAGATAAGATAGCACAACATTGTTTGAGTACATTCAGCGAGGAGTGATAGTGTCATCTATCAAAGAAGCAAGGAGCAGGTTTGGAGAGCTTTTTCCCTCCCTCCTTTGCACATCTGTGTCATTACTATGTAGATATATCATTCAAATTCTAGTACCTATATCATAGTTTGAAAATATGAATTGCAGCAGGCATGGTCCACCAAGTCTCCTGCAAGACCATGACATCTCACATGATTATACCCCAGCCTCGGTTCAGCCTTCCTTAATGTCTTTACTTTGTACAAACTGAGGCTAAATCCATGCCCCCTTAAAGTCTTGAACATGATTAGGATTTGCCTCTAAAAGGTGTCCTATATATCTTTTAAATAAATAAAATCTTTACTGTGAGAAAACACTCCAACTGAGAAGCAGGGGAAACTCTGGAGAAGTGGCGGAGGGGCTGCATAAGGGGTGATGGGGTAAGCTGACAGCGAAAGGAACTGTTGCTTTCTTCATGCCAGCTTGCTGCCTTTTCCTCTTTGTGTTCACAATGCAGAGAGATTAATCCAATGCAGAGAGAGGGACAGAGACAAAAGAATGGGTACAGAGACACTGCTTTGACTCAACTTAAAATTTTGTTTCAGCTCTCCACCCAGTGCTGGCGTACAGCTTCTAGAAGGTATGCACAAGCAACTTTTTTGGCCCCTGGACTAAAATTCCTTTTGACCCAAAATTGTAGGAACAAAATTAATTGTTCAGTCTAGTCCAGTCTGACTGATAGTGGCTCTCCCCAAGAATGCCTGTGATTTGTACTCTGATCCTACCAAAAGAACACACCCCAAGGATAAGGGTCTTATTTCAGCCAAAGAGAATGGGGTTGTGGCCATCTGAAGCCAGATTTGGGCTGTAGTTCTACACTTTGAACTAGATAGCTATATATGTATCTGATTTCCTGAATGTAGACTTGAAATAATACCCAGTTCAGCCTTAGAGAGATGTTTCATTGTCTACCTGAGTTTTCCATCTTAATATGGGAACAAATGACCTTAGTATGCTTTTGTGAGGATGGAGGAGATAAAAGTCATCACTTCCAAATTTAGAGGCAGGACCGGAATTCAGTAAATGTTACCCATTCATGCTCAGCGAAAAACCTCTTGTGAAAGTATTTTGTACAAATTCACAAAATTCTACAGCACAATATAGCAGAAGTGTGCAACTCACTCTGTGCTCCCCACTTTAAATGCAGCTCTTCTATGCATGTCCCGCTTCACCAGGTTCTACTATACCTTTTCTGTACTCCCTCCCCTGGCCATCTAGATGCAAACTGCTCTTTTCTTGCAGTTACCAGGCCAATAGCATGTTGACATGTGCAGCCCCCAACCTCTGTGCCTGCATTACATGCAGCTCTTTGACCATTTTCCCAGCCTGGTGCCCTTCAGATATATAGGCACTATCTGAACTCCTATGAATCCTATGAATCCCCAGCTTGCATGCACATGAGGGCTGGAAAGTGACATGGTCAGGATATGTTGGTTAAATTCTTGACAGTTCATAGCAGTAGAATGTCCAATTAACCCAAACCTTCCAAGGCATAAGTCCAGGTCACAGTATGCCATAAGCAAGCAGGACTGAACATAGAAACAGAGTGCGTCAGAAGGGGTCTCCCGGGCCATCTAGTCTGACCCCCAGCTCCAGCCAGCTCTGCTCACGACATGCCCACCATGTGCACGTCCAGCCTATCCTTGAACACCCGCACCGATGGGGCCTCAACAACCTCTCGTGGAAGCCCATTCCACACCCTCAGGGTCCTAACTGTCAGGAAGTGCTTCCTGACATCCAAATGGAACCTTGGCTCCCTGAACTTTGCTCCGTTGGAGCGCGTCCTGCCTTCCTCTGCAGGGGAGAACAGGTCTCTACCCATCTCCATGTGACATCCCCTCACATACCTGTATGTTGTCAACATATCCCCTCTGAGTCTCCTCTTCTCCAGGCTGAAGAGACCCAGTTCCCTCAGTCTTGCCTCATACGGCATCCCCTGCAAACCGGCCACCAACCTTGTGGCTCTATGCTGCACTGACTCTAACCCGGCTATATCCTTTCTGTAATGAGGGGCCCAAAACTGAGCACAAAACTGAGCAGTTGTGGGCGCACCGGAGTCATATAGAGTGGTAGTAATACCTCTCTCGATCTAGAAGCCACACTTCTGGCTATGCAACCAAGGGTGGCGTTCACCCTCTTGACCACTGCTGACTCGTGTTTAGCCTGCAGTCAACCAGTACCCTGAGGTTCTTTCACAAGTGCTGCTCTCCAGCCACTTGTCACCTAACCTGTACTTGGACCCCTGAACAGGATCGGCCCCAGGACAGAGCTCTGGGGGACCCCGCTTGTCACTGGCCACCATCCCGTTGATTCCCCATTAATGGTTACCCTCTGCTTTCGGTCAGTCAACCATGCCCTAATCCACCGGACAGTGCTTTGGTGTATCCCAAAACTCCTCAGTTTCTCCACCAGGATATCATGGGGCACTTTGTCAAAGGCCTTGCTGAAATCCAGGTAAACCACATCCACTGCATCCCCTCCATCTAGCCATCTCAAAACCTTGTCATAGAATTCCACAAGGTTTGTCTGGCAGGACCTGTTTTCGCGGAAGCCGTGTTGTGTGGCTGTCAGCCTCCCTTCCCTATCTAGCATCACTAGATCTCTCTCTATTATGAGCCTTTCCATTGTTTTTTCCTACAATGGACATAAGGCTAACAGGTCTGTAAACAAGGCTCCCCAGATGGTTTGAAGAGGTGCAGGTATGTTTCATACACTGTGTCAGGACACTAAGTTCACACCAAGTGACACACAGCAGGTTTGCCTCTTATCTTACTGGTTACCGGGTGACAGTAACAATTCATAGCAAATATAAAACCAAATTTCATATATATCCAATGTGTACAATGACTCATTTAAAAAGCAGGCACTCCTAGCCAAAGAGTGCGGGTATTTCTCTGAGTCAGTTTGCCAGCTTCCCAAAATTACTGCTCTAGCTAGTTTTGCATTGCATGGTGAATTTGCTGTATCATTTTGCAGCTGCTGATTTAGCACAATTACTCAACTGTCAGACAGTAACTCAAAATCTCTCTAGACTATCTTGTTATCTGTTTTGTCTTATTAACTTGTCAGCATATAGAAGGCAGGAGGAGGGACCAGAACCAGGTGAGCACATTATAAACAGCAGTAATAAAAAGGGAACATTTTAAAATGCAGGAAAAAGAATAAAGCAAGCCTGATCCAACTAAAGGGATTTGAAGGAGAGGCAGGTAGGTTTCAGAAGGGAATCGGAATGCTGTCCTGCAATCCACCTAAAGACAGAAATATAAACATGCTCATGCATGTGGACTCAAATGCATGTGTGTTCCTCCTACTCCGCACAGGATGCCCACAATCCTCTATGTTGAGGGGCCTAAGGCTATCCCTGCTGAATTGTGCTCAAAAGCTGCTTGATCAGTATATGTTATCAAGTTTGTGCTGCTCAATAAAAGGGAGCAAGAGACAGAACGTTCTGCTACTCCTTCTGTTGGGTCAAGCACAGCATCTCTCCATAGATATAATCCTCCTGAGTCCAAGGTAATTGAGATAATTCTAAAACAGGAGAATAGTGCCAATATTTTCAAAAGAACTCGCTTGAGAAAACAGCTTATTTTAGTACAGAAGGTGAGGTTACTCTAGGCAAACTGTTAAATACAGAAAATAAATGTGCCATTTAGTCTAAAATTACTCACTCTAAACTGTGCAAATACTCCTTTCTGTCATGATAACCCTCAATGGAAGCAACATGCATCCTTTGATATGGTGTGGCTTTAATATAGGGACAAGGCCCTGAATCAAATCAATTTTCTTAAATGGGCAAGAAATATTGCAGTCTCCAAGCACTACAGAAGGGGTGGCCAAACTGAGGCTCAGGAGCCACCTGCTGTTTGCTGCCTGCTTCCACAGCCCATGGGCACCCACTTGCAGCCACATTTACCATGTGGCTCTTCCACTGAGTGAGTTTGGCCAACCCTGCAATATAGCAACAAATTGGTATAATCTCACAGGTAGGGTTGTAATTCATAAACTAATTTGTTTCAAAAATCTGAATCAAACTAAAACAGGAGCAGTAATCTGTTTGAAACAGCAGTCTGAAGGTGGCTAGGACTGATAGGCATTGCAATCCAAAATTATCTGGGCCACAAGTTACCCACCCCTGGCCTTTTGCTGAAACAATTTATAAGGTTTGGAGTGGGGTGGGAAAATCTGTGATTTTCCATTAAACAAAGGCTTTGATATGTAGCTTACATTTAATAATTAGATTTGTGGACACAAATACAGCATTTGACAACTGACCAGTAAAAAACAAAATTGCATGCAATGGACTTTTCACATACTTGAGCTTTGGGAACCAATAGCAGATTTTCTAGAAAAGCTACATTAGAATTTTAATCTCTAACTGAAAGGTCTAAGAAATAATTCATTTGTCAGAACAAGTCCATATCTACCCCATACTTCTTTTGGTAAATGGCAAAATCCTTGCCTTCTCTTAGAATGAAGAAGTTCAATGTGAGTTCTCACATGTTCATATTAGGTATACTAATTGTTCCTTTGTTGGTTTTCAAGCATTCTTTTTTTCAAACTTCTGTTCTGCCATGTTTTCTTTGGCTTGACATCTACAGTTGAACTCCTTTAACATTTCATTAGCTGTTAAGTTGGCTCCTTTCATAATCAGTCTGTCACCATCAGCTGTAAAGAAAAAAATCACAATGCCTTACAACTCTAGATAACTACTACTCAGATAACTGTTTTCAATGTTGCAAGATACCTGTAATGCTGGTGGTAGTACTGCTTTCTAAAACTTGGAGGGATTGCTTGTATAAATGCATTTGTTATTATTTGTCATTTGCTGTACAATGCTCTTGAAAACCAGAAAAGGTCAGCAGATATATGAGACTGAGGTCCATGGGGCCCTGCACTTTTACTTATTTCATTTAACGTTTTTGTATCCCGCCCTTTACAGTGTCTCAGGGCAGCATTTTATCTTTTATCTAAAATGGTGATGGAGAAAGTGACACTCTCTGGACACTGGTAGACCACAATATGCACTAGCCCTAGCTAGCACAGTCATGGTGAAGAATGATGGGAGCTGTGCTCTGATAACATATGGAGGATCACACATTCTTTTCCCTTGACCGAAAACATTTCACTATTGCTGCAAAAAGCAGAAAAAAGGCCCTCTCTTGTACTGTGCCTATTAGTAGATGAGAACTACCTGCCTCGTTCTGAGTTACCTATCTGAGATGGAGATCCAGTAAGGAGGCAGAGCTGACTGGTACTTGTAGAACTTTTCCCTAAATATGCATAGGATTGTATCCTAAGGCTGTAATCCTGTAGCCAATTTCTTAGTTGTTAGCCCCTTTGAACGCAATGGAACTTACCTTTGAGTAAACATGTTCCTCCAGTTTTGCAAATATAAAGACTACTACACTGATTTCTTCTTTTGTCTTCTACCAGTCATTCAGGATGGAGACAGTTTTGACTTAACAGCCAGATTTTCTATTTTCATAAATGGAGGACCAACAACTACCTGTTACCTTCTGTCTAGCTGTCCTAGGATCACTGAAATGATCAGCTGGCAGAGCTCAATCTAAGTATCTGCAAACCCTCTTCCACTATAACATCTTAAAACTCTGCTTATGCAGACATAATGACTACAACAACCAGCCAACCTTCTCCTCCTATTCTACCCCATCCCTGTGGACCAACATGCCTTGTTTGATGAAGTGATATTATTATTCCACTGCATTTATATCCTGCTTTTTTCCTCTTTTAATGAACCTAAAGTGGCTTACAAGGTTCTCCTCCTCTCCATTTCTCCTTACAACAACAACCCTATGAAATGGGTCAGGCTGTGAGTAAGCGACTAGCCCAGTCACCCAGTGAGGTTCATGGCTGAATGGAGACTCAAACCTGGATTTTCTGAGACCAGGCCAACAGTCTATTCACCATACCACACTGGTTCTCAACTTGCAGTTTTATATTTAAGGTTGCCTTAGAGAAGTATTATACTATATGGATTTTGGAAAATATAGATTATGTGTAAGGGGAGAACTACACGTTATAAAGTGCAATTAGCAAGCAGTAGCCCTGCGTCAAATTCTCCCTCCCCTTATCTGAAGTGTAGTTCAACTTCTCGTGCATCCTGACATCACTGCTACATGCATCTGTCAGCCTATGAAGTGTTTAAAATGTGCTTAACACAGTAGCTTCATTTGTACAGTAACTCTAGCTTTCTAAAAGCTGTAATGAGCCTTCTAGTGACATCAAAGTACTACCCAGCCTTTCTTCAACAACTCAAGAGAGAAAAGGCAAACTGAAGCACCAAGCTTTGTTGCAACCTTGGAAGAGACAACCTGTGGGACTAATTTTGTGCAATCTAGCATGGCTTAATGAAAGGAAAGTATGTTGCACACAAGCAAAGGAAAGTAGCACAGTTCCCATGACACAATATGAAGTTTACCAAACTGAAATATTTGCACATCAAGGGCACTTCCTAAAATTGCAGCACATTTCATAAAAAAGAAAGGGAGCATTGAAGAAGGTTGGTTCAAAATCTAGCGGGTTACATTCTGTACTTTCCTTTCATTAAGATCTTTTAGGAACTATTTTTCTGCAATCTGGTGCAGAAAGGTGTACTTTCTGACTTCCTTAGGACAGAGTAGTTTTAGGAGCCACTCAGTCCTCTAGAGTAGACAGTAGTCCAGAAGCTGTAAGTTTTCAGTTCTATAACAAAATTAGCATATGATGTACAAAAACCAAGAGATAGACCTTGGAGTAGTGTGTAGAATCTATCTTTTTCACAACTTGAAAATTAATTTGAGTAGGGCCAACTGAGGGCCAAAGAATTATTTGAAGCTACTACTTGGTGATCCCATTTTAAGTTACAAAAGGAGTATACATTCTTACCAAATGTGATGTCTATTACTGGTTCAGATCCATCATGCTTTACATCTGTTTTCACATTACAATTGATGTTGGATGTGTATGCTTTCTTTACAAACAGACACTGAAGGAAATGCCTGAAAATTTGGAAATGTAGATTAGGATCATACAGAACACAGATGAGCAAAATGGCTTATATAACTAAATGTCAGAATACAAATGAAAATATTCTAAAGACACCTATGTTCAGGATTAGATGGAGCAATGTTCTGCAATACAAAGTAGATAAGATTGCATTATACACGGCAATAAATACTCCCTTACAGGTCAGTAGCTTGCCACACCAATTTCTCAACTGTTCTGTGACACTTGTACATTTTTGCATGCAAAACCTGATTGCTAACTGCAGGTTGTTTAACCCATGATTAACTTATAGGTTCCAGGTTCTGAGATATATAACAACCCCTAATCAGCACAAGCAGGAGCTGAATATTCAAATTAACCACCAAATGTGCCCATTACATGCTACAGCAAGTTCTGGATAAATTATCCCAGATTTTCTGCTGTTGCATAAGAACTGAATCAATATATACTTTTTTAGATTACCATCACACATGAATTAAGGTCAACAAAATAAATGCCGATGGTTTAGAATAAAAATATTACGCATCATTTTATAAGATCAACTGAAATTTTAAACTTCTGGGATTTTGTAGAGGTTTTATTTGTCCTTTTTCATATTTGCATTGGCACATCTTTGTCAACTTTGAAGCTGCTGTGATGCAGGCAGATTTTAGAATTGGACAAGATTTTTTTAAAAGTATACAAATTAAATAAATGTAAGGCATTGCAAGGAAGCAGAGTAAAATAAAACATAAAGCTAAACAACTAAAACCATTTGTAATTGGGATGGTTAAAGTCAAATAAATAGATTTTCTCTAAAGAAATACTCATGACAAATGCCTATCCATTGTATCAAGTTTTGGAGCTATTATTGCTAGAGCCAATTTGATGTATGATGCAAGTAAAAAAGAACACCCATATATTTGTGGTTTTCTATGAGACAAGCATCTTGCTTCAACTGACTCAGCTCACCTATGAGCTGAGTATTAGCACTTCAGGACACATGGCCTAGATTGGTGCTGTGCCAGCACGCTAACTTTGCACAAACAATAGCTTTAATGAGTGTGGAATGAAGAGCAGCATGCTACTGTCTTCCTTTCACACCCAACACATTAAAGTGAATCCTAACAGTAATTTTTCATCCTCCCTCCCTCAGTAGTTTCACACACATTTAAAGTATCTACAACAGCTAGAAATTTAGCAGATGGCATTTTCCCATAAGTATCCCATCAGTAGCATTCAAGACTTGTTAAATTACTGCCTGCCAAGCAGATGTTAAAGATAGATTGCCAGAAATCACAGCAATTCTACTCAGAAAGCCTGTGCCCAGGGGCATTTCTCAACCCACAAAAAATGCATCAAAGCACATACAAAGAGCATTTCCCCAAACTATCAAGTAATTACAGCCTATCCATCCTACCCAACACACTTGAGATTATGAACTAAAGTTCACAATCAGAATATGCACTGTCAATGTGCAATAGGCCTAGTTTGCACCTTCCTTGCAGATCCTTGCAGTCACCTGAGACCACCTTTCTTTCTCTGCCATTAACAATGTAACATTTATGCGTTCAATGGGATTTACCCATGTAAATTATCGAGAAAACTGCTGAAACCCTAATATGCTTATGCAGAAATAAATTCCGTCACCTTCAGCAGGGCTTCCTTTAAAGTACGTTTAGACAACAGTACAGATATGACTTTAAAAGAATATCTAAAAACTACGTCTCCCTTTCCCGCTACCTTTGCATTGTTATTCTAGAGTAGGGACAGGGGTCCCATCGGGACCCTCAAGTGAGGGAAAGGGGTAGTAGGATGTTTTTAAAGATCCGGATTGGGAATCTTGTGCATACTCTACAGAAAAAAAAATGAAAATACAACGTAGCTGCTGGAGTCACGTTTAAAGCATCGTCTGTTTTGACCCTAGGTTTGCAAAGAACGGCTCCCATCCTGCGCTATCTCCACTGCATTCCGGGGGCCTGAAGCCGTGAAGGGACGGGATGTCCAGGTTGAGCATGAAGATGCTAAATAGCGTGTGCTCACCTGGTGCTTTCCACGTTGGACTCAAAAGGACAGAAACTGACGAGGACACTCTTCACCTGCTTGAGCGACACGCCCGCCTTCTTCGGAAGGATGAACGCCATTTTCCTCCAGTGCCTTTCCTTTAAGTCGCTTCGAAGAACCGGAAAACTACAGTTCCCAGAAGCCCACTAACAGTCACTCTTCGCGCGCACAGCCTCCAGGGAAATGTAGTCCCTATTTGCTTACTAGTGTTGCTCTTCTTGGCGAGATTTTTGCAAATTCGTCCGGGAAGATTTGCTGCCACTACTCTGTGCTACGCTGCGCTACCTTCCTGTACAGAAGCTGAAGTTGTGTGGTCGGCGCGGTCAAAAAGCATCTCGGTGACTCTGGGTCTTTCTGAGAAGGTTTCAGACTCTTAGAAAGACAAGCGCCGATTTTGACAAACAAAATTAATCTTATACAAGTTTTCACAGAAAAAAGGAGGCATGCTGAGAGTTAAAAGACTCTCTCTTTTTCCCCTGTCTAACGATTTCCCCTGCATGCGATTGCGCCTGAAATGGTATATTCGATGATAGCGCTTGTGGCAAAGAGATTGTTTTTTCTCCTTCATACTTCTGGCTTCTTCAGTGTGGTGGAACAGAGACAGTGTGCCAGTGCATACACGTGCAAGGTATTCATCTATTCGTGCATTTATTTATTTGAAATCTTTTCATCCCACTTTGAACCAAACACTTCCTTAAGGAAGCGTACAGCATTAGTTTGTTGTTATTTTCTAATAGAAAATTAGCAATGACATCCTAAGTCTCAACCATGTTTAACCCTCTCATGGCCACCCTTGACCATCAATAAGACATAATAGGCTAAGAGAATGCACTGTTGGAGCTTTGATATTTGAAAGGGTGGAAGTCATGCACCACCACTCCCCTTGGCTTATATTGTTCTTTCTAGATGTTTAAAGATCATGAATATAAAATGCTCTAATATGAAGCAAGAACAACAGCATAAAGCACTCTAGCATGGCTACAGAACATTATTATTTAAATATTATTATTTTAGGATGTAACCCTATACAGGTTTGGGAAGAGGAAAAAAAAAATACTACAGCTCCTAGCTCTCTGCAGCCAGCAGGGTCACATCTTTACATGTCCACTTAATTCCAGTTACATACAACTTTTACGGGTTTCAAATGTACCTGAATGATCTCTCAAGAAGCATTCAATGTGAGAGGCTGTGAGGTTGATTTGCACGATCACCATGGGTTAGGGATTTATTTTGGAGTAAGCACATAAATAAATGTTAATATTATTGAATTTTATTCGGCCAGGGCGGCTTATTTTATTTTACTGTATATATTTTAATTGTTATTGTTTTAATGTATTTTGTATTTGATGTTGTAAGCCGCCCCGAGGCCTTGGCAAGGGGTGGCATAGAAATGTTTTAATAAATAAATAAATAAATAAATAAATAAAGTTTTGATGCATAGATTGGAACAACATAAACTATTCCCCCTTGCAATACCACAAACTTCTTAAAAGAACAAAATTTCAGCCATAATGAGATCAACAATAAAAACAAAAGGGTCTTGTGGCACTAACAAATTTATTATACAAATGAAACACAGCCTTATCCAACCTTAAAAAATTGATAAAACTGTTCTACACCAGCTTTTGTGAACTGTGTCCCACTTCATCAGATTTACAGAATATTATGGAATATTATGTTCCCCAGCACTGCTGCATATTCTATAGAGAAACCTGATGCTCTAACTTCCTAATACTGATGAAGTGGGCTATAGTACACAAACATTTAAGCCAGGAAGGAAAAAGCAGTCTTGAAGGTGCTGTAAGACACTTTGTGTGCTTTTGCTGCAGTGGATTTAAGAGAGGGGTCTCAAACTCAACTTACCTGGGGGCTGCTGGAAGTAGAGTCTGGGTGAGGCTGGGCTGCATCAAGTATTCCACCACCGCGGTGGGGGTGGGCCGCTCATCCCGCGGCCGGCCCAGGCGCTACCAGCGCTTTGAAGGCTGCAGGGTCCCTTCCCCGTGCCCCACCTGTCCCGGCAATTGGCCTGCGGGCCGCGAGTTTGAGACCCCTGATTTAAGAGCATGATCCCATGCATATTTATATCCCTAGCCAGCCAGGTTGGCTGGAGAGTACTGGAAGTTATAGAATTCTTTTTTCTGTCTAATTGTGCATAGGATTACCCTCTAACATGGCTGCCCTGTAGAAATCTATTATGGTAAAAACTTTCATGGACTAGTTTGCTTAAAAATAATAATAAATAAATTATTGGCAGACCTAATTAGTACAGGAATATGTGGTTATGAGTTCAGTGGGATTTATTCCCTAGTAACTGTGCTTAAGGTTGTAACATATAGCTAATTAATATCCCTTTAGACTCAGGTTAAGACAGTCCTCTACTGCAGGCATTTAATTAGTTTACAGTGGCCTTATAAGCTCATTAAACGGTTTCAAGATTTACTTTGCATAAGCTATTGTAACTTTTTATTTGTCTTTTAAATCTGGTTTTAAATTTTTGTATGATAAATTTCCTATGAAAACTTTTTAATGATGTTTGTGTTTTATATTGCATTTTTATGTGTTGTTGTAAACCTCCCAGAGAGCTTCAGCTATAGGAAAGTATAGTATAGTTAAATAATAATAGTAATAATACTAATATGTTGGGATTTTACATCATTTTATCCTATCATCCAAGATATCCATGGTCTGACAAGGGACAGAGGAGATTGTCAAGGTCTATAAAAGATAATTGTTTTCTAAGGATCTAAGAAATAACTAATCTGCAAAATAATGGGCTATTCCATGGTATAAGCAGCTCCCTGAAATACAGCACATATGACAAGAGAGACACACCAGGATATCAATATCCCAGAGGATGCTAAATTGTGCAACTTGATTTGTGCATATTCTTCATGCATTAATCTTGAATTCTGTTCCACTCTACTCTGTTACTGTGCAAAGGACTCCAGGAGCTCTCTATAGCTGCTGGATAGGATACTGGAAAAGCTGGGTCCTGGACTAGTTAAACAAAATTCCAAACTCACCGAAATAGATAGAAATACATTCCTAACTTAACTTGCATAACTTCTACCACAAGATGGCAGAAGACACTTTTCAGATAGTTTCTAAAATATTTGCTAAACTAGAGTGAAGAGTCTTTACTGTGGCACTTCAAAGGTGAGGAGATTTATTGTGGCATAAGCTTTCTTGGATTGGAATGTGCCATCCTCAGATGTATAAACTCGGCTCCAGTCCTTTGTCACTACTTTATGCTGCAATAAATTAATATATTGTAAGATTTTCTTGCTGTAAAATACAGACATCTCCATCCAGGCTCCCATAACCCTCCACACTCAGAGGATTACAGAAATTCTGTCCAGGGCAGGAGAAGCACAAAGGTCACACCTCCTGCCCTAAAAAAGACTTAGACTGCCAAAACCAGCCATCTCTAAGACTTTCAGTCCTGCTTGTGAGAAGGAGAAGCTGAAACCACACCATGGTAAATTGTATCCTGGCAGAGTGTAACTCAGCCACTCCGCAATCATTTTCCTCCAACATCAGCTCCAAGGTTGGTCTTGTGACATGGCAGTTACAGCCTGTGAGTTTCCTTCTGTGCAAGCTGTGAGGGCAGAGGGAGGGTGCTCTGAATCTAGAATCCAAGTTCCAGTCTTGGAACACCTATCCAAACCTGGACCTGGAAGTATGACTTTTTCTATGGAGCACAACATGACTAGCAAAGTAGCAAGTGTGGACCAAGAAGGTTTTTGCAATATTTGTTTCTTGTCTGAGGTCAACATGGTCTACATGTACAACAAGTGCAAGCTGCCCTGCTGGAAGGAAAAGTACTAGAGGGGCAAATGTCCACCCTCAAGCAAATGAGAGAAGAAGAAGCGTTTTTAGACAGGGTGGTGAAACTGCAGTAGGTAAGTGTAGTACAAGAACTAGAAGAGCAACAGTGACCTGAAGCAGAAGAAGTGAATCCTAAGATAAGGGAAATTGAGGAGGAAACTCCATGGAAAAGGGTGACAGGAGAACTAGATGATACTCAGCACAAATGCAAGCAGTTACTTGAGGATGAGACTGAAGGGCAGCCTGCAGTGCGAGAACTACAAGTCTTCCCATGCAACACTGAGCAAGGTCAACCAACCAACCAATACTGAGCAAGACGAACCAACACTAAAGGTCAACCAACTACTGGCAATTATACCGAGGTTTGCAAAACCAAGAGGAGAAGAGTGTTAGTTGTGGGAGACTCCCTGTTGTGTGGAATGGAAAAATATGTTGTGAAGACCTGTGGACTTGTCAGGTATGTATTCTGTCTCCCTGAAGGACACATTTATGATGTAATTGAAGGATTGCCAAGACTCATAAAGCCCAATGACATGTATCCTTTCCTCTTTATACTTGTAAGAACGGACACTGACAAGTGGAGCTTTGAAGAAATCACATCAGAATTTGAAACTTCAGGAAGGAAAGTCAAGAACTTTGGGCCCAGATAGTTTTCTTTCCCACCCTCCCAGTTCCTGGAAGAGAAATTGACAGGGAAAGAAAAATACTCCAGGTGAATGCTTGGCTGTGAAGATGGTGCCAATGTGAGAGACAGAAGGACCACAGGTTGCTCTTCCTGGAAGATGGACTGCTGCCAAGTGATGGGCTATACCTTATAAGGACTGGAAAGAATATATTTGGCCATAGCATGAAGATGTTTATCAGAAGGTCTTTGAACTTAACCCTACAGGAGATGGAGAAGTGCACATGAAGGTAACAATGGACAAAGGTTTATGCACCACAAGGGAAAAGCAGCTCTCATCGCATTCAATAGCCTTCCAAAAATGTAGGAAGAAAGCTAGAGTACAAAGCACATGGTCTTCAATAGCTATATGCTAATACCTGGCGTATAGAAAGGAAACAAAATAAACTTGAATTTTTAATACCAGAGGGTGAATACAACCTGATTGGTGTACCTGAAACTTGGTGGGATGACTTCCACAACTGGAATTGAATTGAACTGAATTGAACAACTTCTACTTGGGGTTCAGTAAGGCTTATCTCCAACTGAGCTTTCAGAATTGTAGCCTAAGATAGGATTCAGTGAAAGCTGTGCTAGTGGAAAATCCCAACCTGTGG